TACTGATTTTGAGTGTTAATTGCTTGTAAGAAATGAATTATCACATTTACGATTTATTTATATGCAAATCTAATTAAGAAATACCATGTGGAAACAACCTAACTAACCTACTAAAACAAAGGATTATTCGAAATTCAAAATAAATTTCAAGTAATTTCAGATAATTTTGACTGTAACTTGCTACCAATAAGCATTGACCTTTAACTTCTTCAATTCACATTATGTCTTTATCTATTAAATATATCTTCCAAAAATTTCGAGACAGTCTATCTATCGTATCCTGAAGGCAAAAATATAACCAATCTTGGTTTAGTTTTTGCTTTACTACGCTTTAGCCTATGTTTTGAATTGCTCAGGTTGATCGACCACCATCTTACATTTTTCAATTTTATCCCGAACATGTTTTTTTATAACCCTTCTTTTTTGAGTTCTCGTCATGGCTTTTGGGGATTTCTCAAGCTTTCCCCCTATTCACCATCTATCATTCCTTATCTGTGTTCGCCATTCTCATGGTTTTTCCACAACAAAAGTGTATACACGTCAAAATAAAGTCTCACCAGGTGTGATAATTTTTTATTTTAAAATTAATTCAATTAAAAATTTCTTAAGACCCAAAAAATTAAAACGATTTCTATTGGCCAAAGGATTTAAACTCAATGTTAGGTATTGAAAGAACTTCAAAGAGTCTTCCTGAATTCAAGCAAATAAGGCAACTTGAGTATAAAATAGTAGGCCGGCCTCAAAAGTTACAGATGGCCTAAGCTCCGACATCTAGATGAATATCTATCTGAAAATGAATTGATAATTAATTAAGTTAAGAAACTAACTAAGACGGAAATAAACTAAAATGTGCATAAGAAATATAAAATGATAGTGATTTTGAATGTTGAATTTCTTGTAAAAAATAAATTATCATACATATGACTTACTTATATACAAGCCTAACAAATAAATATTGATAAGTATATATTGTTATGTATTTTTATAGGAAAATTATAATTTATAATTAATATATTGGATAAGATTTATATTGATTTTGGTACAATCGTGGCAGAATGGAATGTACGCCCTTGCCAAATTTTTCAGTCAATGATTGAGTGAATTTTGGACATAAAGTTGGAAATGAACAATCAATGAGTAATCGATGAGAGATTAAGAAGCTAATCGAAAGTTTGATCGTCTATAAAATGGGGGTCAATGCCTTTGATGAGATAACATAATTTATGCTCACCTTTCATAGTTTAAGTTGGGGATTGAGAACGACGGTTTGAGATGAAGTGCTACCGAATGATCATCATTATTTTTATCGCTTTTATTTATTTCTAAGCATGAGTAGCTGATTTTCTATTCTAAACCAATGTTAAATTTAGATTTTGAATTTAGATTTGTGATATTATATTTTGATTTAAATTGAATCTTGTTTATTAAATTGGTATTTGTACAATTTTTGTGATTTATACCTACAATTATTTTATTTAATCTTTTATCGCAGCCGAATTTTAGATTAGTTTAGCAATTATGTGTCAATCGAACATTTGCATCTGTAATTGTGCACTTGTTTAATAAAGTGGTAAATAGGTTGACAAGTTTAGTCTAGGAATTATATGATTAAATAATTTAATCTTTTCGTAATTGATTGAATATTTGAATTGGGTTTTCTCGTGCTATTTTCAATTGGAAAAATTAATTTATGATCATACCTAGATTACTTTTTTTATTAGGAATGTGGTCAATCGGCCGTACCATTGCCGCCACTAAAGTAAGAAAAAATTAGGCATTATGATCGTATGTAATACCTACAACTAATTTATCAATTGAATAACAAGATTATTTGAAATCGATGATCGAATCTTTAATTCGGTTTCTTATTCACTCCTTAGCCTAGAAATTTAATCTCTTTGAAATGTGAACTTTATTTCCTGTTACTTATTTTAATTACCTTAATTGAATTTGCTAATATTTCTCCTAATACTGGAATGTGTGACAAAACATGAATTAAACTTTACCGTCCCTATTGATCGACTTCGACACCACTTGCTACGCGACAATTGTACTGTTAGAGATTTTTTATTGAAACACCGATGCTACCAAATACCATAATATGAAAACAACCTAATCAATCTACTAAAATAAAATATTAATTCAAAATTCAAAATAAATCTCATCAAATAATTCGAAAAATTTTATTTGTTTTGATAAACTAAACTCATATATAACGTTATCTAATTTTTTCCAAACTAACTGGATGTGCTCTAATAAAAAATAATAATAATATGATTTTTAATTGATATTAAATAATATAATGATATACAAAATCATACAAAGTATATAATATATCATTTCTCATGCCTATTGTAAAAAACATCTTATACTAGAAAAAAAAAACTAACATACCACTCCCCCCCCCCCCAAAGGGATGGTGTGGTGGTGTAACATTCCAATCAAATAATTTTTAAATTATTAATTTATTTAAAATATCATTAGTAATATAATTAAATATAAAAAAAAAATATATGTATTTTTCTTAACATATTTAAATAAAATATTATATTTTTATAAAATCAATCAAATATGATTTAAATATAAATATACTATTAAAAATAAAAATAAAAAAAGATAAATAATATATTATATTTTTATAAAATCAATCAGATATGATTTAAATATAAATATATATTATTGAAAATAAAAATAAAAATAAAAAAGATAAATAATATTCTATTTTTATAAAATCAATCAAATATGATTTAAATATAAATATATACTATTAAAAATAAAAATTAAAAAAAAAAAAAAAAAGATAAAGAGTTTTTTTTTATTTGGATAAAAGAGTATAAAGATAAAAATTGAAATGCAATGAAATGAAATGAGATTTTAAAGCATCAGAAATACCTAGTATTGAAAAATCCTTCCTTTACGAAATTTTAAATTTTCAAACACTTTAAATTCCATCTATCTATTTTCTAAACACACATAAATTTATTTAAATTTTAAAATTCAAATCTCATGAACTCATAACAAGTATGTGAATCAAACAGAACCTCGTGTAATTAAAAAAAAAAAAAAAATTGATTTGAATTTGATATTAAAATATTTGATGAAATATTTTGTGTTTTTTTCGAAAAACGCATAGTACAAATAGTATTATTTGAGAAAATTTGGTTAAAGAAACTAAAGCTGACAGGTTTATTCTTAATTTTAAAACATTTCAAGCTTAAATGTAGATATAAAATAGGAAAAAATCGTTTTTAGTCTCAATATAATCAAAATTCATCAATTTTGATCTCAATATAAAAATCTTATCAATTTTGGTCCTAATATAACTCAAACTCATCATTTTTTGTGTCAATATAACTAAAACTCATCATTTTTGGAGAGTGTTTGGCAAGCTTTTTGAAGAGCTTTTAGCTTATTGAACAGCTTTTAGTTGTTTGACCAGTCAAAAAGCTAATTTAGGTGTTTGGTAAATTAGCTTTTTGGAATAGCTTTTTGGACCAAAAAATTAATTTCTAAAAAGCTAACTTACCTAGCATTTTGAAATAGCTTGTTCTTTAAAAAAAAAAATTTATTCCTTATATGCCCTTAAAAATTTATTATACATTTTACACAAATAAATATATTTTAATTATTTATTAATTATATTAGAATATTTTATTATATTATAATTTTACTTTTATAAATTTAAAATAATTAATTTTTATATAAAAATTATTTTAATTATAAAATATATAAATTTATTAAAATCAATATAAATAGAAAATATAAATATTAATAATTTATTTTTATATTTAAATTACATTATATAAATTTTATACTAAAAATAAATTAAATTTATTGAAAATTATAAATATAATGAACTAATCAATAACTAACATAATAAATATATATATGAAAAAATTATTATTTTATATTTTACATCATTTTCAATAGAAAAAACTATTTATATATTTTAATAAATATATATTATTTTTTAAATTTAACTGTAATAAAAATAAATATTTTTATAACACTTTTACAATTTTCAATAACTGATAACAAACAATTTTAAACATTCTAAACTCAAAAGAACATAATTGAATATATTAGAAACAAAAATAAAATAGAAATGTCTTCAATTGTAATTTTACATATAAACAGCTAATATCAAACAGTTGTTTTACCAAACATTTTAATACAAACAGCTAATCGAATCAACTAGTCAAACCAACTAATTGAATCAGCTAACAGCTATCAGCTAATTGTCAAACACGCCCTTGGTCTCAATATAAAACTTTTATCTTAGTCCCAACATAACAAACACTCATCATTTTTGTTCCAATATAACAAAAACTCTATCATTTTTTGTCCAAATATAATCAAACTTTTATCTTACTGTGTCCCACCGTCAACAAACCGACAGAAAATGCTGACGTGAAAAGAAATCAAACCTTATATTTATATTTGAAAAAATTGCACAATCTTGCAAGTCCACGTCAGCATTTTCCATCAGTTTGTTGACGGAGGGACAAAAAACGATAAAGTTTGATTATATTATGACAAAAAATGATGAATTTTGATTATACTGAGACTATATTTGATAAAAAATTTATATTGGAAAATGATAGAATTTTGATTATATTGGAACTAAGAATAATAAATTTTAATTATATTATGACCAAAAATGATAAATTTTGGTTATATTGAAATCAAAATTGATAAAATTTTTATATTTGGACCAAAATTAATGAATTGATTATATTGAAACCAAAAATAATTTTTTTCCAATATAAAACATAAGACTGTTATTATATCATTTATTTAAATATTTTGAATGAATAATATGAAAAATACAATTAATATTGGCTACCATAAAAGGTATGGTGAAAGGCGTATCCCTGGAATTAATTAACGATGCCTGCCAGTATAGGATAGGATAGGATTGGATAGTACTGAATCTGGATGGACGTCCAATACAATACAACTGTCTGTATGGTATGTGATGTAATGTAGTGGACCACCAGTTTAATTAGTTTACCAATTAAATAATTAATTAAAAAATAAATTATTACATATGATGCATATGCATAGCCATAAAAGCACAGAACAATTAGTTAGGAGAAGAAGATAGCCAGCAACAACCGAGCTGGAATATAATAAAAATATAGAGAGACAGACAGATACTTACAACGACTTCCAAACACTACTTACTTAGAAGAAAGACACAGAGAAAGAGAGGTACTTACAACGACTTACTTCAAATACTCACTGAAATGTATAAATATACTTCTTACCAATCCAAAGGAATAAAATAATTAGTAAGAATATATATATATATATATATATATAAGATGATAAAGAAAAAGAAGAAAGAGAGAGAGAGAGAGAGAGAGAGAGAGAGACAGCCAACCAGCCAGAAAAGCAAAGCAAGATTGCTAACCTGCCTAGCCACTTTGTGCCGGGACCTGTCCGATGATGTCTACCTGCTTGGGCCTCCACTGGGTTCGGCCTTTGACAATCTCACCCCCACTCTCCAGTCGGAGGAGGTGCTGACACTCGACAAAGCCGGCAGGGGTGGCCATGTCACCCACCGAGGTGAGGGACTGCAGCACGCTGTCCCTCATGCACTCCCTACGATACTCTAGAGTCATACCAGCAAGCTCATGAGTCTCCACTATGTGCGCCGGAGCACTCTGCCACCAATGTGCAAAATTGTAAGAAACTTGAATTCATGTAATGTAATGTAATGATCAACAATCAAAACCTTCATGTTCAAAAGTGAAATGCCGAGTTATATCCATCCAGATATTAGTGAAGTAAAACTGCATTAGTGTCGACCATCCCTGATTATTTCGTTGAAGTTCATTCTAAACTAATGGGAGAGTTCTCGTTTACTTCCAGGGGATCAACTGTGTTTGTTTGGGGAATTGGGTTGGATTTACACTATTCATCCAATTTTTTCACCCCAAAAATATCAAATCAAATACCTATTTTTCATTTTTTATATTATACTAAAAATCAATTTACATTCAGAACATCACACCAACACTTATTTATATCACATCATACAACTATTCAAATTCAAAATTTTTACTATTCAAATCCCAACTAAAAATCCAAACTCCCAAACAAACACACCCCATGATTCTTGGTTTTCTTGATTCTAGGTTACCATCGATAATCACAAGCACAAATAGTTGTCCCAGGTTTTTTATTAGTAGAAAATGCCGACTATAAAACAAGAAAAATAAAAAAACTTCCATTGCAGGTTAACTAGAATCAAGAGGAAAATGATGGGATGAAATAGTACAAGTACATGAAATCTGAGACATAAAATCTTGCAATAAGTTTTAATCTTCAATAAGGTTAACCAAGTGACCTATCAAGTGAAAGTAAAGAAACTTTAAACAGAGGAGATGTTCCTTCAAATGTTGGGGCAGACATCCATGGTTTAGTTGCTGAATTTTAAAAGAAAACATCATAAGAATTTTTAATAAGAAACAAAACAGCCTATGGAGAAGTTTAAAATCACCGTATGAAAATAGAAACGTTCTTTTTCATTTTAAGTGACACTTGGATGCAGCAAGATAAAACTGTACTGTTCCTCTCTAAATATGCTCAAATGAAAGTGCTTAAAATACCACTTTGCGCAGATGAAGAATTGGGAGATCCTGATATAAATATTCTAACTCAACTAATTTTATAGTTTCCCGATCACACAGTGTTCAATGCAATAAAATCCATTAGATAAGAATATTATAACAACTCCAAATAGAAGCGACTAAAAGAAACAGAGGAAAAATAGAAAATATGTACCTCAAGAATCCAACCAACATATTTCACATTATTGACATGTTGGTTGACATCTAAATCACTCCATCTAGGCTGCGCGCAAAGAACATAATGTGTAAGAATAGTGATAGTCACAGTGCACGAGCAATAATGACAATAACAATGAATGAAGAATGCTCACAGTTAAACCAGAGCGGATGTGATCTGCAGTGCTGTCATCAAGTTTCGGAAGCTTCCTGCTATCATCCTCCACTATAGGAGGCGAGTCCACAAAATGCCCACCTATTTCTTGACGGACCTCATCTGGTATTTTAGATAGTTTTCTCGTTTCTTTATTCATCATCACCCACAAACTGCCATAGTTCCAGGTACCATATGAGATAACAAACATTTTCATTTACTTGAACAAGAATTCAGTTGAAGAAAACAAATGTTTATGAAAAAAAAAAAAAAACCCATTGATTGATTCAAAGAAGGCTAATGAAAACAGTTTCTTGGATTAATTTTGTATTTCCATACCTCGATGCTCTAGTTAATGTGTCACCAGTATTAGCATCACGCAAAAGCCACTCTCGACGCATCCCGTTCTTCCCAGATGCAGCTACCCATGTATCCACCTGAACAACATCTCCCCTGCAAAACAAAATGTCTCGTCCCATCAAATTAGGTCAAGGATTAAATGCTTCTTCTTACAGAATTCTGTCCAAAAAAGTAATCACGTTAGAAACTTTATGAAAACCACAAATGAAAATTTACCATGTAGGATAGCGATCCACAAAAACCTGCATTTTTGTAACAACCCATATCAAATTCCGCTTACACATCTCTGGAGTTGAACCAAAGCCATCAGCAAGCAGCCCGGCATGCTTCACATGGTTTAGAGCTGTTTCCTGTCGAAATGTGCTATTTTAATAAACAAGCAATAATTCTAACAATTAATTTGTAAGATGGAAAGCATACATAGTTGATATCATATTCAGGAGTTACCTGCAAATGATTCATTAAGGTCTCCACCGAAGCAGTTCGATCAGCCCCTATTTCATATGACCTGATACTGAAGTTCTGACTAAACACCAAACCATCTTGCACAATCCTCCCCAAACCAAAAGGATCAACGAGCATGTCCGGCCGCTTTGGTTTCCAATCAAGCATCATCCATTGCTTCTCAGCAGCCAAAAATATTGTAGTGATTGCAGCAAGAAGCATGCTCCAGTCCGGCAATTGGTTAATGAATGTTCTCGGCGGAGGCGACACTGTCACCTCGTCCTCAGGCTTGAGTCCATCCATTAGTCCAACGTTAGTCCCATTAACCTTCGGAGGAGCCTGTGCATTAGCCTTTACATGTAATTTTCCCAAAGATGTGGATTTCGATTTGGCACTAGTTCCACGAGGATCAACACTTGCAGGAACAGTCGATCCAATCCCACCCGGAGTTTTTCCAGAGGAATCTGAAGATGGGGAAACTATAGGGTGAAATGAACACGTTGCAGCTGTGGCCACCATCGTCTCGTAATTGGAATATTGTTCAAAAGTTATCGACGGGAATGATTCAAACTTTAACTAAATTTAACAGTCAGATGATTTGGGAATCAAACATCAACAATACTCTCCCGATGCCGTGTCTTCACTGCAGAATGTGAAATGAAGAAGAATTAGGATTGTTACAAGATACAGGTAAGAATAAGATCCCTAAATATTATCATTGTTCATCATGAGATAGATTCCAGAGAGATTATACAACAACAGCATATCATATTCCGACATTAAAATTGTAAACTCCCAGCAAGAGAAAAGGCCTTCAATTATTCAACTCTTGTTCAAGGAGAAGAAACCAAATCATAAAATCACACAGAAATTAATACAGGAAGAAATTTAATGAAGCTGAAAATCTAAAAAAGTAAACGACAAAAAAACAAAAAAAAAAAAAAAAAAAATTAAAACAGAAATCGTAACCAACAAAAGCTAAAAAGCAGATCTGAGCATTCGACCACAGAACGTCGAGATAACCCAACGGCATTGCAACGCAATCGCCTCGCCAAAGGAAGAAATCCAACCCTCATCCCTTCGGACAATGCGCCCGAACAAACGACCACGAATTTTTTTTTTCCAGATCGGAATAGAACAAGATGGAAACGAAACGATTCCCAACACTATCAATCGAAATGAAGAAAAAGCAGAGGCACGAGGTGCTTCGTCTATCTCTATCAAACTCTTGACAGCAAAATGAAAGGCATCAAAGAACAAAAACAGACGTACGACGTACCTCTTTCTGATCGACAAACCCGTTTGCTCTCTTCTTTCTTCTAGGGTTTGCGATCGTTGGCTCGAAGCGTTCTTGCGTTGCCCTCTTTGACGTAATTGGATTCCCTTCTCCTTTGTGGAGGTGTTTCTATGGTAAAGTTTTTTTTGTTTTTGAGCAAGAAGAAAATTCTCGAAGAGAGAGAGAGAGAGAGAGAGAGAGGACAATAAAGAGTGAGACGACAGCGCGAATTTCTTGGTGGTAGGCAATTGCTTTGCATCCAGCTGATCCTTCTCCTCCTCCTTTTTATAGTCAACACAGACAACATATACATACACATAATCATGTGTAATTTCTTTTTTGAATTAATGAGTAAACAAGCAGGGGACTTAGAGGTCGGCTGATTCAGGGCTGTAGAAATTTTGGTGGCTACCTATTTGAAATTTTTTACATATGTACATATTCAATATTAAATATATACTCCATCCGTTCCAAAAGAAATGTTTTATTGAGAATTGGCACCCAATCAAGGAATAATAGTATTCTGATATAAAGTAGAATGTAAATAACTAAAATGTCCTTGCTTTTTAAAGATTTTAAAAAGTACGTTACAGTAATAATCGGGGATAGTATGGACCACGACTACTAAATAAAAAAACAAGACAATTATTTTGGGACTGACGAAAATAGAAAAACAAAGACAAATCTTTTGGGACGGATGAAGTATTAATAATAATTTATTTATTTTTATTTAAAGTAATTCCGTATAATTTGTTCTTTTTTTTATTTCGATTCGTTTCACATTATGTCTTTTTTTTTTCGAAAATATAATTATATATTTTAATTATATTTTATAATTTTAATAATTTACAATTTTTTTATTTTAATTAAAATATTTAGTTATTTTAATTTAATTTATAATTATTTTGACTTTTTGTTATTCGAAAGGAAGGGAGGAGCTTATAACTTTATGCACGGATATGTAATATCAAATAATATAGTTTTTAATTATATTTTTATTAATTTCATTTATTTTTTAAAAAAAATACTATAAGAAATACTTAATGAAAGAATCATATATTAATTAATAAATGGTGTGTTTGTGTATTAACTTTTAATGTATTCAATCAAAAAAATAAATTAAATTAAATTAAATTGAAATTATAAATTGTTCAAATTAAAATATTATTTACTTTATAAAAAATATATATTGAATACAATACATGTAAATTAAAATAAAATATTTTTTATAATAACATGAAATAAATTTAACAATCTACTTAAATAGTGTGGGACAAAATATAGCTTTATAACAAATTATAAGTATAACTCACTTTTATAAAAATTATTAAATATATAGTATAATTTTATAAATTTGAATTTAATCAAAATAATAAATTTAATATTATTTGTATCATTGACCTAGTATCAATATTTAAATTTATAGTATTATTTTTTACCATAGTCTAGCTCGAGACCCAAAAAAATTAATTAATATTGATTATTGTTATTTTTATAATAGTAACTATGTTTTTTGTTGAAAGTAATTGAACAAAATATAATTTTATAAATAATTACTCCTACCCCGGACTCATTTAAAGTGTCTATTTTTTTCGTATAATTTGTTATTTTTTTTTTAAAAAAAGTTATTATATATTTTAATTATATTTTAAATTTTATAATTTATATTTTGCTTCATTTTAATTAAACTACTTAAATATTTTAATCTTAATATACTCCCTCCGTTCCGATGCAAGATTGTTGTTTACTTTTTTCAGGTAGATTTTTTAATATTAGTATTATAATGGTTTGTAGTGACAATGACAAAAATGCTTCTATTAGTATTGCGTAATATAAAAGTGATGGCATTTGTGTAATATAGTGTAAATTGGAAGAGTATTTATTATGTTAGGTAGGCAGTACAATTACTAAATTAGGAAATGATAACCTTATTTTAGGACGGACGAAAATAAAAAATGACAATATTTCAATGGGACGGATGGGGTATAATTAATTATATTATACAATAATATTTTTAATAATATAATTATTAATTGTTTACTAAATTTTTTTTTTTTAAAAAAAAAGAAATGATATGTTTAAAACGTGGACACTTTTGGTGGGACAATGAAATATTAGTACGAGTCACTCTTATATATGTAGCAATAAAAAAATTAAAATTAAAAAAATTCATATTGTGTATGGCGGATGATATATTTTTCAAATATATATTAACTAGTGTATAGTTCATGCTATGCACTGTTATTATTATATTAAATTATATATTAATTTAATATTTTTTATAAGATAATATTTATAGTAATCAAATCAATTTGAAAATAATATACATGATAAAAATTAAAAATAATAATAATTTATAAAAAATAAGAATAAAAAATAGATAATTTAAAAAATATATACAATAAGAATGAACTACTGCAATAGAAACAAAATTTTATACGTTAAAACTTATTATAAATTTTTTGTACGAATTTGTTAAATATTCTTTCAAATCAAAATATTCAAAATTTGAATATAATCTATAAAATTGAAAAATATATTAATATATTATATTAAAAACTAAATCGATGCATATACAATAAGATTATACATATCAAAAAATTAATTAGTAAATAAATACAATAAATCATTAAAGAGATAAATGCATTATATTCCTTCTCTGTTTCTTCCTTTTTTTGATTTTTTTTTTTTATTTATTCTGCATAATAATATAAATATTATAATTATTAGTAGAAACAAAAAAAAAATACATAAAATAAGAATAATATAATCAATATAATATAATATATATAATCAAGTTTAAAATTTTTAAAGTTAAATAAAAAATTTTATTGATAGTATTTTACTATATATATTAATAGAAAAATGTAATCTCTTTGTAAGAACATAAAGAACGATAACGAATTATATTTGCAAATAAAATATAAAAAAATATGATATCAAAAAACAAAAATCGTATATAAGAGTCATTCAAGAATGCGTGTAAATATATCTCAATCAATCATCACTATATCAATTAATGAAAATAACAAATTAAAAAAAAAAATTAATATCAAGAAAACGAATCAAAAATTCTATCACGTTTTATAAAATTTTGGTCTAAGTACAAATATCTGATCGAAAATTTCAAAGTTGGATTTAAAAAAAAATGAATTATAAACACTCCCTTAAAATTTCAGCTTGATCAAATGGTTAACGATGCAATATTTTATCATAATTTTCTTTTGATCTTCTTATTCTCTTTATAATAATTTTTTTTTGTGTTTTCTGTATAAAATAATCAAAAAAAAAAATTATATTATGATAAATAAAAAATATAATTTTTCAAAATAGAACTAAAAATTTTAAAATAAAACAATTTATATAATTAAAACTTAAGTATATATAGATAATGAAACCCTAATTTTATAGAGACAGTTCTGCGGATGTAATTATTTTTTGTTTTATGGAAGCATTGTTTTTTTGATGAACTTTCAGTTGTAGTTGCGTTCTATATTTTGAGTAGTTTGGACTTTAGGTCCAACAATATTTAATATGACTTTTAAAATTTCAAAATCATTTAATATAATAAAATATATATATTTAATATAGCATCGAAAATTTGGAGACTATAAAATAACAAAATATATATTTAATATGGCCTCGAAAATTCTGAGGCTATTTTAACTAATCTGAGAGCAACCCAATAAGTTCATTTAATATATTTTATATATGTATTTTTTACAGTATCAGAATCAATTCCGAAATAATTTTTCGAGACCGAATTTCTTTTTTTTTGGTAGTGATATAAGGTATTTAATATTTGGTATTATTATTATTATTATTATTATTATTATTATGTCTTTTTTATGCTTTTTATGTAGATTGTATTGTAATTAAAAAATATGAACGGAACGAATATTTTATTAACGAAATTGAGTAAAAATACTGAACTAGTTTTTGTTTTTTAAGGCTCAGCTCAAACCAACTCGAAATCACAAAATCGACACAAACACACAAACTAGCGACTAAATGAACACCAGCCCAAAACCCATAAAACAAGACAAAAATAACCCCCACAGACCGAAACAAAGCATACAGAAACAACACCACAAGCCTACCAAGTTGAACGAGCCCCTTGTGGCTACGAACAACAAAATAGGGGGTAATTGTGCCAAAGAAACTCCACACAAGAGTAGGAGAAAGGCACCGCCGTGGAAATGCCGGAAAGTCGCTAGAAAAAGTCGCGTGAAAGTGAGAGAGAAGGGCTAGAGAAAAGGTGAGTCTAGAGAGAGGAAGTGAGAGCGCATGTTATGACTGCATCGCCTCTCTCACTCTCTATATATACTTAGGTCAAACAACATCGGACGGCCGAGATTAAACCCCTAAATCGGACGGCAGGCGCTTCTCCTTGCAAAGAGACGCGAATCTCAACCGGGTCAGGGTCGCGAGGTCGAGTCGTGGGCTTGAGAAGTGAGTCAAGGCTAAGGTGTCAATTTGGGCTGCATAGTGAGTGTGTATTGTGTTTAAATTGGGGTGGACTCACTTGGACCCAAAAATCCAACAAATCTTCTATCTGATTTTTCGTCCGAGTGGTTGGGGTACATCATCGTCCATATATTTATCTGCATAAAAAGAAAAACATAATGTTAGTCAAAAATAATAACTTAGCCTACCAAGTACTCTAAGTATTACAAGGTAATCAAAGGTATCTCACAATGTATGTATTTCATACAATATGCAAATTTGTTTGTAGATAAAACTTTAGTACCCATATTAGATGGGTTATATTTAGAAGGAATCTTTTCTAATTTTAATATTCTTTTACATACAATATCACGTATGAAATGAAAACACACATCAATATGCTTGGTTATGTCATGAAATATAGGGTTTTTGCATAACTGGATTCCCGAATGACTATCCGAAAGAACAGTAACATTATTATGCAAATAACCTAATTCATTGATTAAACCTTTTAACCATAATGTTTTCTTTAAAGCTTAAGTTATTGCCACATATTCATATTATGTTGTGGATAGTGCTACAATGTGTTGCAATTGAGATTTCCAATTTATACAAGTTCAACACAAAGTAAAAACATAAGAAGTTGTACTTTTCCTACTATCTATATAATTTGCATTATTCGAATCCACAAAACCCTCAAATTTAACATTTTCAATATGTTTTCCAAACACAAGACCAACATTTATTGTGCCAACTAGGTATTTGAAGATCCATTTCAATGCATGTCAATGTTCTAAACCAGGATTCGAC